ATCACACCACCCACACCAAAAGGATCCCCGTGACTGCACCGGTGGTACCCTACTACACACGAAATTCCTAACACGTATCCCCTGGGACCCTCACGACCAGATACTACTGCGAGTATATCTAACAAAAGAAACTCGACACTATGGAAGGGAGTATGGCGCACGCATCAAAATAGCCAATCAATACGAAGGGCGCTGATATCAAATATTTGAACTTTGTCCATGAAGCGGACAGAGCATTGCACATCCAATACACGGTGGCGCTGCCGCACCGGAAGGTCTCCGTACTTCTCCACAACCCCCCTCTGGTCTCTGAACTTAGGTTGATCGACGAGATTCAGGAGCGTCCAAAGCTCCTGCGGCGAAGTGTGTAGAAGGTGGGGGTGATTGACGGTGGGTGAGCGGCGCTTCTTGGATACGAAGAGGGCGATGAGATGGTGCAGGGGACAGAAGGTAGCAACGCTGCTACGGTCGAAAGGTAGACTGCCTGGACAGGCGCAGTAATGCTCGTTGGCAAGCGACGAGAGTGAGCTTCGGGGGACATGTATCGAAGTCGAATACTGACTCGATCTCCAGGCCCACGGTCAATGCGTGGACTCGTAAAAAGTGAAGTCGGCTCAACATCAAACAGATACGGCCTGCGAGAATTTTCTCTCTTTGAAATAATACAATGCTGTAGGGAGGTGATCCCAACGCCGGAAAGAAATAAGAGGCATGCCATTTTGCTTTGCATACATCGCCGTACATGATGGTGCAACGAAGACGAACGCCAATGCCAATATAAGAGATTGGGTTCGATGACCGCACGGTAATCGCTCCCCCGGGGATAAAAAATCAATTGGTCTACCCACGGCACACCAAGGTGCCCACGCGTGGTCAACGGGCGCGCGTTTGTGCTCAAGGGGAATGCACAGAGTCCCAAACGAAACTGCATCCCACCTTTGTGTTGTTCTGCAGCGGAGTTCCAGTTAGCAGCAGGCTGGACTCAATCGTGTAGTCCTTCAAAACCACCTGAGAGTGAAATGCAACGGCGGTGAGAGTGAACGCAACAGCGCATGCACGAGGGAACCAAAGCATGGAACTGGTGCGTGAGACAGAGGTCACATTCACATTAATGGGGACTTCTCCTGAGTATTCCATAGTGATGGGGGGCTATCTCCCCGAAAGACTGTCGAGCGCCCGCCATGGATACCGTAGCATTTTCAACGCATCAACGAAGCCAGAAACCTCGCGACAAACTATTCTTGACCCACGTTGAGTCTTGAGGCGCTGTTCTTGAGACGATGTGCTTTGTCCACCACCAGGACGTCCCACGTGATCTTGCACTGGAGCAGGGCCTTCACATCCTTACGGATGCACAGCTTTGGAGATGTGATGACCACGGTAGACTTCCAGACGCGCTTCCCCTTGAGGACGAAAGAGTGAAAGAGAGGACATAGCAACGTCTGGTCAAGTTGTGAAAATCGTCTTGCCATCCTCATACAATTACTTCCGCAGGTGCTTCCACACAGGAATGGGAGGGCCGATCAATGTTGATAAAACAACCAGCACAGGTTGTACGGAAGACCACCCCAGTCGCTTAAAGAAAAAAATGGCGCTAGCGGTGGGCGTGATGCTGTCGTTTGACATCATTATTGCCGAAATTTCGTTCAAGCAGAGTTACAAAAACTTGGAGGATCGACAGAAATCCACCCACTCCCCGCCCAGAACCCGAACAGACGATGATCAAACCTTTATCCTGGTCTTGTCCTTCTCTGCTCGGCCCTTATCCCCAGCGAACTCCATCTCGTAGCCCTCGAGGATTTCTCGATCCTCCTGCCACGGACAAAGATGAAGACGGAAGACGAGGATAGTGAGTAACAACATACAAGTAAGTCAGCACGCCGTGAAAGCCCAATCGCGCTCGGATACCGCATATGGGTTCTGCTTAGACTGTGCCCTGTGTTCGAACTTCCTATGCCCCCCGTGTCGCGAGAGCACGATGTCAAGATCGCGCGAACGTGTTGTTGTCTCCCTACGAGAGTGACGCATTTCATCGGTCAGTAGCCGATGCCAATCTTAAGGTCTACACACACACACACACACACGCGGTTTTCCTCGTCTTTTACCGTTTCGGTCTTTAATCTGCAAAATAGCTTGTCCCCCCCCCTAGCGCTCCCTCAACCCCCCTCCCCAATTCATGGCTTTTAAACCCAATTTCCGTTAATAGCCGCGCTGAAATTACGATTTGTCATTGTTTGGCCGGGTAGCGCGCTAAATGTCAACAATAAAGACATCGTACACACCTTGTCTCCGTGAAACACGACGGCGTTCATGTCGGACCACGTTTGGAATTCCCTCAGCCAGTCCGGCACGGTAGACAATAGAGCGATCACCAAGAATGGCCCCCGCTTGCCGTAGTCGTTGTGGACGATGGACAGAGACGCCACCGTCTGTGTTGCCGTTGTTCACAGATGAGGCACAGGTTTGTTGCAAATGGGCAATCATATGCAAATTTTAGAAGCATTGAAGGAGAGGGTACTGAGGTGGTACATTGGTGCTATGAGCGACTTAACTTCGCCCTCACCCATTCCAACCGTAGCGTGTGATAGAGGGAAGCCAACGAGGATCCCCTCGGAGGAGAGGGAAAGCCAGGAAAAATCACACACCGTAGGAGCGAGCAACGTATCCATTCCAATCACACGTGCTGTAGAAGCAGCGGCAGAAACCCAGACGTACAGACATCAGAGTCGTAACCACCCCGAATAAAGGAAAAAAACACTTCTTCAACGACGTAAGCAAACAATATATCATAACTGTTCAACGCACTCAGGGAGTGAAATAACTCTGAAAAGCTGAAGCGTGATTTTCACGAAAACCGGAAATCTGTACACTCAGAAAGGTCAAAACGTGTACTATTCAAGCTGACTGGAACCATGTGTGCACACGTGATGCTAACCTGGAGGGTCTTGCCCAGCCCCATTTCGTCGGCGAGGATGCTCCCGCGGCCTTGCAGCCAGTTGTGAATCATCCAGCGCACCCCCTTTGTATCACGGCATGGCGTGCCGTTCATTGAATTTTCACCATGGCATGTGCAAAGTATCACGATGCATACAGCAGACAGAACAACATTGAAAACACTTAATTGACACGGGTTCAGCAGTGTAGGGAATAGATAAGTCCCTTGCACTAGGTCGCACCTCAGAGTAACTGTTCGTCCGAGCTGGTCGAACAACCCAATTCGCAGTCGGCAACCAGTGCGCGAGAACGAGCGACAACACCCGAAGCTGCTCTATACAGTAGTAGTTCCAGTATATTGCCGGTTGCCCACTATGGTGCCTGTTCAAGGGGGTTGGCACCTACCGGCATTGAAGTGGGACCACTACTTCACCCCCTTGCCCCGAATGCGGCGTTGCCTCCTTTCATCACCTCCCTCTGGTAGTCCCTGAGAGACCCTCCGTTCTTGAAGACGGGCGGTTCCTTGTCCAGGTCGGGGGCACCATCGGCGACCTTCCGCGTAGCTTTCAGGCTTACGAAGCTCTTCATGTCCTCCCGTCTGTGGTACGCCTCAACCGCCTCTGCGGTTTTCTGTACGCCCCGATGGTCAGCGAAAACGCGTGTGTTGGTGGTAGCCAGAACGGAAATGTGTGTGTATACAACGGGGGCTGTCACGCCATTCTCTTGGAAATCTCACACGTTCTCGGCAGCAAAGGACGAAGGAGACTCCATTGTGGGTATTCGAGGCCCTTGCTGAGCTGACGCCAAGCAAGGGGAGCTCTGGGGTCGAATGGCGCGTAGACCTATGTACAACATAGACCCATCCCTTTCCTCCAACACCCACCCACTTATCGGCTTACCAGTCCAGCGTTGTTCAGGTCACTGACAAGCTCGTACGTGCATAAAGAGTAGGAGCTGCCGGCCCACTTGACCAGCAGGCGCGTCTCCTGCCCCTCTACCCTGTCCACGTCCAAGACACGCTTCAGCTGCTCGGAGGGGGGATCCGGAGAAAAAAAGTTGAACTGACAGGCGCGTGAACTGGTTGGCAGGCGGAGGTACTTCTCATCGATCCAACCAAGTACGCAGTGCTGTTGTCTTCGTTCGTGTGACCCGAGACAAGCGTTGGGGACGTACTTAGTAACAGAAAGGCTTGGCAAGGCGGATCATTGGCAACGTGTGTGTCGCAGCCCAACTTCACCGATGCCAGCAGAGAGTGTTAGAAACTGATTACTATCTACGGTGTTCCGGAGAAAATGAATTGAGCTTTGTTCCAAGTTGAGCGGGGGGCTGCAGAAATCAGAAGCCTACCTACCGCAACATCAACCAGAGAGGGGTCGAAGAACCCCCCCCCCCCACGCTCTGCAGCCAGTTCCCCTTTGAACTCCTTCTGCCGGAACTGGTCGAGCTGCGAAACAAGAGTGGAGAAGACAAGCGGCACGAAAGTGCTGAAAACGACATTGATTCGTTCTTGTCCACACAATATTGTGACTACTTGCAGAGCTAAGATCAACAGAAGCGTCAGGTCGAGGGCTTCGTTCTCAGGCACACGTCGGCATCCCTCCCGGCGGAATGTGGACAAAGGGTGATCAACCAGATCACAAACGGATCACAAACGGATTCTTTTTCGGCAGAAGGGCGTGGGTGCCAATGTCCGCCGTAGTCCAGATCGGAGGTGGACTGCGCCCCTGTACTTGATGCAATTTTTCTTCTGTATGCGCATGGATACGTGTGAAAGACTTGGGGTGTGGATACCAGAGGCATAATCACAGTACTCCAACCCCAACTCGACAAATTTCCCCGTCGTGTGAAAAGGATGGTGATCCCGAGGAATGCGCACCCAAAACGAAGTAAAATTGCGATCGCAGAGTAGTCAACCGATTCCTCGCCGGCTCGACTCGGGGGCATTGTCTTGCAGTGGAATTCTGTTGGATCATCTTGTAGATGAACAGGGAAAAAGAATTCGAAGTGAACCCAGCTTGGCAAACGAATGGCTTCAACCACCTATAGGTATTCGGGATCGACCAAAGGGGACAAGTCAGTCGCCTGAGCTGAGAACAACTGGCACGACGCAGAGCTGTTGGACAGCGTCATCACAAACCAACCTGTGTGTTGGTTTTGCTCGTCAACTCAACGAGGTCCGTCGAAACTTCCCACGACACGTGGAGGTAGCTCTTGCCATCCCACTTAACCAGGTACTTCTGTACGGGTGCGGTGGCTTCATCATCCTCTTCCTGTTTCCACATCGAGCCGGCCGTGATCTGGAAACAGTGCGAGCGGGAAAATTGTACGACACGTGAAAACCCTCCCGGCACGCGAAAATCGTAGTTGACCATGAAGAAAACTTGGAGGATTGCGCCAACTGAATGGCGCAGACACCCGGACGTCTCAATGAGAGAAACACACGGTCGGAGTCAGAAAATTGTCTACAAGCGCAGAATTTCGTACGGATATTGGATGAGGAGCCCCACGCGTGCCCCTTCTCTCCCTGTAGCCGGTGCTGCAAAATTTCCCGTACCTGACCCGTGTTCATGTCCTTGCAAATCTCCTTCCACTCTCCCGGCAAAAGCGTCTTGCTCGCGAGAATCGCGGATAGCTTCGGGGGCCGATCACCGCTCTCACCGTCGACATTGGTAACGCTGCCCTCGTCGACCTCCTCCTCGTCATCGTTCCCTGTACTCGACGTGAGGTTGGCGCTTGTGGGCGCCGCTATGGCCTTTCCTTTGCCTTTTCCTTTCTGTCGGGTTGTCCGTGTCGAGCTCGGACTGCCCACAACCAAGGTTGTGGGCGTTCCCACCCCTTGACGCTTGCGAGGCGCGGCTTTGGATGTTCTCTTGCCCTTTGCCGACTTCTTCGACGCCCCGAGGAGCGGGCAGGGATTTCCGGTCGCACGTCACGAATTGAGGAATATTGTCATGTGCAACTCCGGAGTTTTACTTAGCTGCAGCTACTTGCTGCTGACAAAACCGTTGTAGTCCATTAATTAAACGTGTCTAACACGGTAGTAGTGGTTGTGGACTTACTGTTTGATTCGAGACATTGTTCAACCTGATCGGGAATTCAGGCTCCGGCGTGGTCGCCTGGAGCCGGAAAGTCACTTCTAGCGTGCTCTTCTACCACCGGTGAGGTTAACCTCTGTTGGTCCTCCCTGCCTCACAAAAACCAAAAGTTTAGGAAATAGTTGACAAGTTGCATACACCCGTAGTGACCGTGTCCTGCCAATAAACAAGAGGGGTGACGTGGGATTGCTCCAAGTTGTTTGGAATGAACCATGTCCGACAATAGAGTCTCTTCTATCCTTTGAAATGCCACAATTTCGACAAGACCTACGGTGAAGATCGACTTGTGTAGGGCACAACAACAGCTGTGCGCTCTTCGAAAATGCAAGGCGTCCGCCACGGCCATACATATTCCTGGGGGGGGGTACGGATAGAAACATGTGGGAATCGTCAGTATAGCGGGGGGTGACTCAATTTGCGTGCAGGATCGGTTGAATAGACCTCCCCGTCCACTCCCAGTAACCGGTGTTGTTCAACATCCCGTACCTGGCCCGTGTTCATGCCCTTGGACATGTCTTCGCACTCAGCCGGCGAAGAGTCCTGCTAGAATTTTTTTTTCGATACCTTGGGCGGCCGCTCATCGCTGTCATAGTCATCGTCGGTGTTGCCGATGCTGCTGTCCTTGATCTCCTCTTCGTCACCCCCTGTACTCGGCGTGAGGTCGGCGCTCTTGGGTGTGGCCTTGGAAGTTCCTTTTCCTTCCCCATTCTGTCGGGTCGTCCGTGCCGAGACCCGATTGCCCACAACCTTGGTTGTGGGCTTCGCCACTCCTTGTCGCTTGCGAGGCGTGGCTTTGCACGTTCTCTTGCGCTTGGGGGACTTCTTTGACGCCTCGAGAAGCGGCTCGGGCTGTCCGGTCACACGTAACGAATTGAGGCATTGTCTCATCAACAACTCCTGAGTAAGGCTTCGCTACTTGTAGTGCAACTACTAATCGCGTCACGCATGGAAAGAGGTGAAAGTGGATCATTTGCTTTGATTCGAGATATTGCTCGATCGTGTCGGATCTCAAACTCCGGCGTTGTCCCTGGCAAGTCACTTTCAGAGTACTCTTCAGCCTCCGGCGAGGCTACACTCTGTTGGCCCAACATGCCTAAAACCACGAGTTTAGGGAATAGTAAACAAATACAATACACCCTTAGTATTCGTGTCCTCCAAAAAAACAAGAGGGGTAACGTGGATTTGTTCCCAAGTTTTCCGGTATGAACCATGTCCGACAGGAGAATCTCTTCTACCCATTGTTATGCTTGGCTTTCGACAGGGCCTCCGATGAACGTCGGGTTGTGTAGGCCACAACAACTGTGTGCGCTTCGAAAATGTAGGACGGCTGCCATGGCAATTGATAATCCTGGGGAGGTGGAAGTATGGATCGCAACATGTGGATATTGTCTCAGTCGAAGATGATACAATTTGCGTGCATAGTCGATTGTACGGACCCGCCCTGTCCACTCCCAGTAGCCGTTGCCGATCAACATCATGTACCTGGCCCATGTTCATGTCCTTGCACATGTCTTTGCTCTCGGGCCTTGCTCGAAAGAATCTTCGATACCTTTGGCGGCCGCTCCCCGCTCACATCGTCGTCGGTGGTGTCAATAACTCCCGAGGAAAACTTCGTTGCTGTAGGGCTTCCACTAAACGCGTCATACACGGAAAGAGGCGGCAGTGATGGTAAATCTTTCGCTCTGATTTTTGTTCGGCCTAATCGGATCTCGGGCGCCGGAGTTCTCGCCGGGAAGTCTCTTCCACCGGATTTTTCTACCGGCCTAGCTCTAACCACCCGCCCTTTCCTATTCTCGTTGCCGGGGTTGCTGAAAACACGTGTCAATATATTGTATACATCCATAGCACTCATATTCAGCCCAAGGCCTAAGAAAAGTTGACAATTACCACAGCACACCCAAAATGTAGTTTGACGCACACGTCAAACAGGCTGGGTGACTCGTTCTCACTACTTGGGCACGTCAACGTGCTCTACTACGCAGACAGCCTCTCCACATGTACCGAATCACCTTGCTCACTTTCATGATATTGTCAGCACTCCTTTTGAGCCTTTTGAGCCACCCGACACGCTCCCGACTTCCAGGTGTGGATGGCTCCTGATCCTCTTTCTCTTCCTTCGTCTTTCTCTCCTCCTCCTCTTCCGTAGGCCGCTGCTCCAACTTGATGTGCTCCTCCGACATCCTTGGGCTTGGCTATCTGATCCAAAAACTAGAAACTACACGTCTGCGGGAGTTGAAGAATGGAAACAGAGTGAGATGGTGCAGGTTTACTAAAATTGCTGGTTGCCTTGTGGAGAGCCATGGTGTAAAGGACAGGCAAAAATAAATAAATAAATATACAGGGAAAAAATTGTTCAGGCAGCAACAGACTCGTTGTTACACAAGCAACGAGGACAAGTTTCCTCATCCTCCCCAACATTTCGTCTTTCTTGAGTGACGCTTGTCGGAGGGACCTTCCAGTACCTGGCACAACTGCATTCTGCGGCCTCCGTTAGGCGAGGCGAGCAGATTCTAAGAAGACAAGAGAAATTGTCGGGCAACGGAGCTTCACAAACAGGCTTACATTCATGGTTGCATCAACACCACCCGTGGGAGCTCAACGCCATTTGTGGACTCGGTGCAGCGAAAAATTATCACGAGTGATAATATGTCAGTCGGCGAAGCGAACAAGACAATCATCCCAACCGACACGTGGATTTTGGCCAGTCGCGTTGCCTTGCGATGCCAGAGAGCTTCTCTGTGCTTGCAAGAAAACACGTCTATCTGGAAAACGTTCGTCAAAAACGTACATGTGGTACGTATCCTACCCCAGGCGCCATAATTAAAGGGACAATGGGGGATGCTGACGCAAGCAGCGGGAAACTTACTTGGGTTTTAGCGTCACGCAGAGAGGGAGAACTACCGACAGGAACACTACCAGCAAGGGGGTGGGGGGTAAGTACGACCACGACTCGGTAGTATAGATGGACAGCGACCCGTTTGAAACCTACTCATAGTAATTTTGGCTGCTGTGTTCACCGAATGAGGGCGGCAATTTGACGAAGCGGGACTCGCAGGTGCCGCTTTGCACTTTGAATCTAAATCGTGGGCGAGAGTTATGCTAAGTTAGCTCAAATCTGCAGGACAAGGATCAGAACGGGTTCGTTGTGGATCAGGACGGGTTCGTTGTGGATCAGGACGGGTTCGTTGTGGATCAGGACGGTTTCGTTGTGGATCAGAACGGGTTCGTTGTGGATCAGAACGGGTTCGTTGTGGATCAGAACGGGTTCGTTGTGGATCAGAACGGGTTCGTTGTGGATCAGAACGGGTTCGTTGTGGATCAGAACGGGTTCGTTGTGGATCAGAACGGGTTCGTTGTGGATCAGAACGGGTTCGTTGTGGATCAGAACGGGTTCGTTGTGGATCAGAACGGGTTCGTTGTGGATCAGAACGGGTTCGTTGTGGATCAGAACGGGTTCGTTGTGGATCAGAACGGGTTCGTTGTGGATCAGAACGGGTTCGTTGTGGATCAGAACGGGTTCGTTGTGGATCAGAACGGGTTCGTTGTGGATCAGAACGGGTTCGTTGTGGATCAGAACGGGTTCGTTGTGGATCAGAACGGGTTCGTTGTGGATCAGAACGGGTTCGTTGTGGATCAGAACGGGTTCGTTGTGGATCAGAACGGGTTCGTTGTGGATCAGAACGGGTTCGTTGTGGATCAGAACGGGTTCGTTGTGGATCAGAACGGGTTCGTTGTGGATCAGAACGGGTTCGTTGTGGATCAGAACGGGTTCGTTGTGGATCAGAACGGGTTCGTTGTGGATCAGAACGGGTTCGTTGTGGATCAGAACGGGTTCGTTGTGGATCAGAACGGGTTCGTTGTGGATCAGAACGGGTTCGTTGTGGATCAGAACGGTTTCGTTGTGGATCAGAACGGGTTCGTTGTGGATCAGAACGGGTTCGTTGTGGATCAGAACGGGTTCGTTGTGGATCAGAACGGGTTCGTTGTGGATCAGGACGGTTTCTGGATCTTTGAACGTGTGGTGATTGTTGCTGTTGTTGTTGTTGTTGTCTTCACATTAAAAACCATCCCGGTCTCTCTATCCAGTACCT